AAGGCCCGTATTAAAAAATGAATAGGACATTTGATCAATACCGAATATCAACTAACATCATCTTATTTAAGGTGAGATGATCACCTGCAATGTTTCCAAAATGATTAAAAACAGTCTGCTTCAGCAAACAGCTGAATCGAGGAGTTTCTAAGTTTTGGTGTACTTGAAATGATGTCGTAGAATCCAGGGCATTTCCAACAGGTGAAGTGAAGGGCGCTTTCATAAGCTTTGTGCCCTTTTTGGTGCAAAAGTGTGACAATCTTATAGTGGGGTTGGAGTTTGTCCGTCAATATCAGCGATTACGCTGAGTTTACAAAAGTGCTCCTCACCTCATTTATCAAAAAGGCTCAGTGGACTCTAGAATATAATTTGAGTCAAACAAGATTTTTCAGTCTTTCATTCAGCTGTATGCTGAAGCAGATTGACTTTTAATGCCTTTAAAAGCGAAGTGCACTGATCATTTGTCTTCTGAGAAGAAGACTGGTCGTAGGCCTTCCGTATCTTGAAAGGCAACTGTACGAAAAAAAATTTGAGAGTCAAGAAATAATTTGAAACTAACTATCAAAGTCTCTATTATTTTTCGTTCGAATTCAACGGGGTCGGAAGCCGCCTTAAGGGATATGGCAGGCTAGCATGTACACTATACAGTACAGCTTCAGACAGCTTCATCACAAGAATGCAGGTGTTGTTTTTTAGAGTGGCTTTATATAATACTTTTGTGCAGCACCGTAGTATGGAGTATTGGAACTAAGAATCTGGGAAACCGCCACTTCAGATGGTGACTAAAATGCATAGTTTCAAGGTACTCCCATACGTTACTGATCTCTAAAATGAGTTGCAGTGGATAGTAAAACCTAAGTCAGAACCGCCCACCACCTCTTCTGCAGCTGGTTACATCTCCTCGGCGTCCTCCTCGTGCGAGTCTTCCTTGCTGTGGCAAAGCTGGAGTGCTGTGTCTCCCTTCCGATTCTCCGACATTCTTCTGATGATGATTGTGCAGTGTAAACAAATCAATATTACCTTCATTAGATATTTGTGCAGTTAGACTTACTTCAGTGGCTAACCTTGAATTTTCTTTGCTCATAACCGTCATCACAGACATCATCATCAACTGTCGTCTCAGAGCGATAATTCTCATAAGACAAACGTGTTGCGACTTTACGGCTTCTGATTCAGCTTCTTGATGCCAGCATACCTAAAAGGACGAAGACGTATGACAGACCTGTCCCCAAATCATTTACTTCTTCGCAGTGAGCATGGACAAATCGTTCACCATCAACTCTAAACTGAGGCTTAAATGTACTTTCTATGTATAACAGACGC